TAAAGTTCACATGTACAAGAAACGAAAACAGTTTCGCTGTCACATGTGTTCTTATCCAGTGGACTGTGGATCATTTACTTGAATGTATTTGAAACGAGAAATCATGGCACGAGTCCAAAGCAAATTTGTGATGAATAATGTTCAACCATATAGATTGACCACCTTGATTTAAAAGCTTCATTGATTTTAATAAATGAAATTCTTTGCAAATAAAATTCGAAAAAACCACACTATAATAAGAAATATAAAAAAAAAAATGAGAATAAAAAATGAAAAAAAAAAGAAAGTTAATGAACTTGAGTTATATATATAGCTTATGTCGACGACAGAAAATGGAACTTTCAACCGCTCACACAAGATATTTATATATGGTTTCTGGTGGAACCTTTTTGGTTTAAGGCCGTGCGCGCGAGAGTAACTTCGATCACGCTTAAAGCCTAGGCGAGAGAGAGAGAGAGAGAGGGAGCTTGTTCTTTTCTTTTTTCACACCGGAGCATACCGCCAAAGTCGAAAACTTTGCAAATAAACTTTCCTTGAGCCGACGACGTCCCTGGTATCGTCTCGACATAAAATATGGATTATTCCAGACATTTGCATTCGAAAAATAAGCTCGAGACAAAAACCTTCTAGAGAAAATCCTCTTTTCCATCTAATGTGCTGACTTCGTTGACCCATTAATGCCATGACTTTCTTTACACAATTCACAACTTTCAAATAAAAGAACATCCAATTTTGAATATTAGCATTTATCAACTGTTTTCAATGTTTTTCTATTATAAAATAATAAAAAAAAAAATGTGTAGTTAGAATTGTGACAACTATCACAGCGCCATCTGTTTTCCATCGGTCGGTAATTCAGAAATCTATGTCAAAAAAAAGCTAACAAACTGAAATTAAAAAAATATTTAATAATTTAATATTTGTAGGGTGAAAAAATTGAAGGCACGTGAGAAATGACAATTTATATCATCATTTGTCACTGAAGGAAATGAGAGAATGTAAAATAATAATCGTTATTACCTGAGACAAGCATGACCATAGCGATGACGAGATTGCATTATCTGCTAACGTCACTGCCAACGCGGAGCTTATATGCGTTTACATGTCACGCTTGATCTAACGGGTGTATTCGAAAAACTTGATTAATCGCATGTTTGACTATGGAAACTTGCTATATACTCTAAACATGAACCTCGGATCTATTAATCATAAATTAATTATTTATAATAGTGCGCGAGTCTCTCTCTCTCTCTCATCATCAGAGATTGTAATTATTTGGTTTATCATTTTTTTCAATTTAAAAAAATTTCTAAATTTTTAAAACAATTAAAAAAATATAATTTTAATTTAAATTTTGAGTCAGAGAAAAAGATTTATAATATATTGAGAAAAATTCTCTCCGCCTGATATTATTCTAGACAAGTATTCTCGGACTATTTTCCCGACAATCAGTTCATCCAACACATCGTGACTGCCATTTCCCTCGACTGAGATCCCTCTCTATCAGAGGTTTGCAAATTTTCTTTTCTATCACTTCGTCCACTGGATAGTTTCACATCTTTCAAAGTAAATACCGGTAGCCTAAATTGGAATTCCAAAAAAAAAAACCAGAAAGTAAACGGATAGAAAACATTCAATTTTGTCTAAACGAGAAGTAAATTAATGATTTTTTTTTTTTTTTTTAATAAAACGAAAACTTGTAATTACAGAATCTGTTTATTTACCGTTACTACTACTATACTATTATTGTAATATTTACCATACCAATACTATAATCTGATTTACTTTTCCTATTGAAATAATTTAAATAAAAATTACAGAAATAACAGTTCAGGTAAATTAAAAAGTGAAAATTGGTTATAGTACAGTCGATTAACTTTCTCGAGTCCTTTTTTTTTTTTTTTTACAAATCGCGAACGACACAAGGTCGCGTGTTAACATCCAATTTCGATTCTAGAGTAGGGAGGTGAAATTTCTCTTGTTCCTTTATTCCGACAATATCATTCTAGAAAAGAATGGATGTAGAATGAGGCAAAAAGAGAGTAAGAGTTGTGCTCACGTTCAAACTGGGAAAAGTGCGATTCATGATCAAATTCAATGTGCACTTCTATTCTTCGAATATAAACGTTCTTGTCTCAATAGAAGCCGAGTATAAATCTAAGAGCGTTTATTCTCCTCCCCCAAACAATAATAGTAAGCCCTCTTATTTCTTTACACTTTTATTTTGTTTCATCCAATAATAATGATAATTCTCTTTTCTGCTTTCTATTAATCCCAATGCAATATATATATATGTAAACAGAATAATAATCACGTCATTAATTTTTACTCAATAATAATAATAATTTTTAAAATCAATAACGAAATAAATATTACGAAACAATGAATAATAAACAAAAATATAAAATAAAAATGTATAACATAAAAAAAACAGTATTTGTTATAATTGATTGAAAAGTTTTTTTTTTTTTTTGAGATTCTGAAAATTGAAAAAAATTGTACATCATTTACATTTTTGTTGTTCCATCTAGTCTGAAATGTTCTCTCGCTCTTTCAGAGTCGTTGAGACCTAAGGCTAACTGATTTCCAATTTTCCAATATTTACGAGATCTCATCTGTACGGATTGAGGTGTTCGGATCCACAATCTCAATTTCCTGTCTTTTAGAGAAAGACATCCGGGGAAAAAAGTGAACATGGAATGAAAGAACAAAAGAGAAAGAGAGATTCCTTTGTCTTGTTTCATGAACACATTATTTGTAAGCGAACAAACACAATACTATTCATGAAAAATTTAATTCTTGAAACTAATATATTAATTCCAAAAACAAAAGGAACACATTTTTCTTTTAACAAATATAATAATTATAATATTTTTAAAAAGATAATTAATTAAAAATTCAGTCATTTTTAACTAATTTTTTTTAGAAAGTTATAGCAAACGTAAATTAAAATACGAAAAATTATTTTGTACTCTTTTGCTTCGAATTGTCGGAATCATTTATTGTCTCAACGCATAATAAGTTTGTTAACACTTTGGATATACAAAAAGAAAAGAATTATTAACGGATTTATATTCAGTGTGAGTGGAATATGACCCGGGGGCGAGTTAAGTCACTTCTTCTTTTTTTTTTTTTTTTTCTTTCTATTTATATGTCCTAAATGTAATATTTCAAGTAGCATAACGTATCAAGTGATAAATATCTTGGTGCTTTATTGCTTTCGCTTGTATTTCACGTAAGCTCATAAAGTGCCTATATATTATAAAAAACCACGTGTATTAGGGGTTACTTGTGACGGAGGTCATTTACGGGATAACATTAACGAAGAGAAAGAGGGAAACGAAATGTGCCTCGATTTTATGGCTTTCTGGAGAAGTTATTAGCTTGGACTTTATATATATATATATATATATGTACAGTGAAGGAAGCTATATGAGAAAATAATGCTCAATTACGATCTCACTCATAAATCTATTTTAACATTTGTTTTAAATAAAAGCGCCATAAAACGTCAAGTGTGTATGCACTATATCGATAACATTTTGTTTCTAATTTTGATACACACACACACACATGTGTCTACTTAATAGGAAGACTAATAATTTTATTTTTAAAGAATTATTTTCTATAAGTTTTTTTCGAATTTAAATTGTTGCATGTTAAATGTAAATTTTACCTTTAATATACTATGAGTTTACTATCACTGTACTTTCTCTGTATTTTACTACCACTATTCAATTCAGTTTTTACTTGATCTACACTTGATAGTCACTTTATTTTCACTTGATATTCACTTGAAATTCACTTGATATTCACCTAATACTCACTTAATATTCGCTTAATATACACTTGATATTCACTTGAAATTCACTTGATATTCACTTGATAGTCACTTTATTTTCACTTGATATTCACTTGAAATTCACTTGATATTCACTTAATATTCGCTTAATATACACTTGATATTCACTTGAAATTCACTTGATATTCACTTAATACTCACTTAATATTCGCTTAATATACACTTGATATTCACTTGATAGTCACTTTATTTTCACTTGATATTCACTTAATGCTCACTTAATATTCGCTTAATATACACTTGATATTCACTTGATAATCATTGCACTTGAACTTATCCTCACTTTTCCTTCACTTGGTATTCACTTGATAATCATTGCATTTGCAATGACTGCACTTTCACTTTCACCTGATATTCATTTAACTTAAGTGAATATAAAATGAATTGATGTTAATATGAAGTTAAGTGAAATAAATATCAAGTGAAAGTGAGGTAATGCGAAAGCGCAGTGATTATAAAGTGAATATCAACTGAAGTGAAAGTGATTATCAAGTGAAGTGGAAGTGAAAGTGCATAGAAGTAAAGTGCAAATGCAGTGATTATCAAGTGAATACCAACTAAAGTGAAAGTGATAGTGAAAGTGATAGTGAAAGTGATAGTGAAAGTGATAGTGAAAGTGATAGTGAAAGTGATAGTGAAAGTGAAAGTGATAGTGAAAGCGAGAGTGAAAGTGAAGTGAAAATGAATATCAAGTGAATTGAAAATAAAGTGAATCGAAGTTACAAATTATCCAAGAGTAAATTTAAAGAGTACAAACTTAATAATAATTTTTCATAAATATTTCTTTTTTATTATTTAATTTTATTACACTTTGAGAGAAATTTTTACCGTTACTGATGCATTTCAAGTTTCTTTTACGATTTTCCGTAAATAAAACCACTCGACTCACTATAGAGAGAGAGAGTTGGTTCGTAAAACGTTATACGCAGTCAGTGTTGGACGTTAATGTGTCATAGAGGGGTAGAATTTTCAACATTTTGGCAGCAGAACAAGCAAATAGCACAGTGGTTATCTTTCGACGCACATCGCAGTCGAGTGACCTCTATATATAGTATGTCACATGCCCATAGAAATCACATGTTATTCAAGTCATGTACATGTGTAGAAGGATACGAGAACCATATCTCTAGTGAACAGTATGGATGTTGAACAAGGTATACCTAACGCTAGTAGATGATAATGTAGACTTCCCTATAAGACTGGCAACATTCATACGGGAAATTTCTTCACCAAAAAAAAAAAAAAAAAAAAAAAACAATAAAAATGGACAAGAAATTGTATTTCTCACCAAAAGGGTACTGGACCACGATTAATTATCCATCTTTCTCATCTCGCCCCAATCTTTTTCTCTCTTTCTTCTCGCATTCTTTTTTCATCCCGCCAGGGTTTTATAGTCAGTAGGTCGTTCCACTGAATTTAATTGTCACAGCAAAACAAAGAATGGGAACATAACTTAGTAAGAAAGTCAGAAAGACGCTTGGCTGAAGGTGTTCCGCTGTTTTCACCGTTTCTCACACTTTAATGGCCTCTCTTTTTTTATTCACTTTTCACACGCGAATGATGAAAAAAAAAATGTGAAAAACTTGAACCCCCAACTTTAAGCGTACTTTCTTTTTTTTTTTTATCTACGACATTAAATGAATGAAAGTTGATTGTGCCTTTCAATTCGATAGCAAAGAACTCTTCATGAAAGAGACATAAAAAAAAGAAACTCGTCTTTTGATAAAAGTTTTTGTTATATAAATATTGTGAAATTATAGTGTACAATTTTTTTTAGAAAAATATAAGGAATCGAATTGTTAATTGACAGTAATATAATTATCATTTTATATAATTAAATTTTCGAATAACGGAATTTTTATTTAGAAAAAGAAGGTCACTAAACAAATTTGGTAAAATGAAAATTCTGTTTAATGAATAGTCGATTCAATGAAAATTCTATTATATAGAAACAAATGTTTTTTTTTTTTTTTTTGAGCTAAAAATATTAAGAATCGGAAATTGTTAATTTATATAGGAAAATTTCGATATGATATAATTTTGTTTTAATTAAAAATCCAATCAGTATTGATGATTTGAAATAAAGTAAAAATAAAAAATTGAGAAAAGAAATTTTAAAAAACTAAATCATTCCAATTTAGTTGCAGGCAAAATTGACAGGACTTGAATTATCTTCGAATTTAAGATATTAAAAACGGATATTTTATAATTTAATAAGAATTCAATTTGTACAACATAATTCTGTTTAATCATAAATCAATGTAAAATTAATGAGATTTAAAATAATATGTAAATGCTTTAAAATTTAAATCAATGGAAATGAAGAAAATAGAATTGCAATAAAAATGAGAAAATTGATTTCAAGAAAATTAAATTTTAAAAAATGTAATAGTTGTGAAAAAAGAGGAAAAATTATACGATATTAATTTCGACTAAAATCAATTTATACTACTGAAAAAATTACAAAAAATTAAAAAAAAATCTAATTTTAAATATTTACTTATACTACTAACGAAATTACAAACGTTTAGAAAGTCTGACTTAATATTTACCTGAATTACTGATAAAATTTAAAAAAAAAGTCGGACTTCTTATTAACCTGTACTACTGACAAATTTAAAAATATTTAAAGTCTGATTTAATATTTACCTGTTATACTTGGGAAATTAGAAATATTTAAAGCCTGACAGTACATTTACCTGTACTACTGGGAAAATTAGAAATATTTAAAGTCTGACAGTACATTTACCTGTACTACTGGGAAAATTAGAAATATTTAAAGTCTGACAGTACATTTACCTGTACTACTGGGAAAATTAGAAATATTTAAAGTCTGACAGTACATTTACCTGTACTACTGAAAAATATAAAAATCTGTAAAGTCTGACAGTATATTTACTTTTACTACTGAATTTTTTATGAAGTTTTTATGTCTGGCTATAATCAAATTGACCTACTATTAAATGTACAAGAAACTAATTGAATATTTCCTTTTCTCAAGGATCGAAATAATTATGCATTATATTTCATTATGAATAATTACAATTTAAAAAATTATGCACATTTTTTTAATAGTGCATATATAAATAGTTACTGTACATAATGAGTATTTAATGTATACATAATTCTTCTCTCTGGGTTTTATTCGAAAATAAAATTTTTCACTCATTCTGCATAAAGATTTAAAAACAAAAAAAAAATTTTTTTTTTATAAAATTTCCAAAAAAAAAACCGTAATATATAAAATATATTTTCACAGCTTAACATTAAATTTGTGTTAAGACTCTTTTTACAGTTCTTACATCTTAAAAGAATGTCATCAACAATGGGAGTGTTGATAACCAGGTCTTATGTAGGGGTCATAAACTTGGAACAAATGGCATTTAAGAGGTTCAATTTGGTGGTACGGAGATTCGCAAAAGCAGACTTATATAGTAATAGAGCAATGGATCCAGAATGTCGTGAGAACAGAAAAAAAAGGGAACGATTTGTTGATGTGTATGTAAGAAAGTGTGAGAGGCAGATGCAGGGGAATAAAAACGGAAGTAGAACCAGAGAGAGAGAGAGAGAGAGGGCTTGGATTGTACGTGGTACCACGTACCCTTATCCCGTTTCCTTCTTATTTTTTTTCCCGCGAGAACCAGAGTACCAACACACACTTCTATTTGGCATAGCGCGCGTACACATCGTTGAAAAGGCGACGCGATACGAGCCAAGCTCTTTCGCCATTAACATTTTTACGAGATCACGTAACGTTCTTCGTTTGGCGCTCAAGACACACTGGAGTGAGTTGGTCCATTCGCTAACGATGTTAACGCGAGATTAATAGACTTCCTCTTTTAACAACATCGAACTGGACATTCATTATATTACCGTTTATATCTAATTTATAGTGTATTACAATTATAATTACAACTACAACAACAATTATAATTACAAATAAAATTATAATTAAAATTTACAATTACAATTATACAATTATTACAATTATAATTATAATTGCAATTACAATTACTCTACCCAAATAAAATAATATAAAGATGCGCCTACTTCAAAAGAAAAAAATGATTTCTCTTAAATATCAAAGCAGTACCTATATTTTTTTACATTCAGCAAAATAGCGGTAATTTATAAATTGTTATTTTAACGTATATAAAGGAAATAGTGAGTTTTTACCTAGGGGGTGAAAAAAAATTTATACTCTTTGTTACCTTTAATTTACTGGCTTTACAAATAGTAGAATGGACTTTCAAGATTCCTTTGTGTATATATGTGTGCACGCCTGTCGGGGTTGATAAAATAATTAAATCCGGAATTCAGTCTGTTACAAAATTTTACACATTTATATATATATATATATATATATACTTTTTAGTTTGAGTAATGCCAAGTTCTCATATTACAAGATGCTTTGTGCATTTTAAATTATATATACCATATATACAGCGCCTTTCTATATATGTAAATTTTAACAAAGTGAGATTTACGTATCAAGCTCTCGAAAAAAGGGAGAGATTTTATTTTTCTTCATTTTTCTTTTTTTTTCCAAGTGAATAAAGATAATTTTTTTTATTAACAAACTCTATCTTATAACAAGTTGTAAAACTATTTATAGACAATTAACCTCAAGTTGAGAAAAAATCTCCTATTAAAAAAGCGTTGCAGATTAAATTCATAAAAAGATTTAATTTTTTCAATTAAATTCCTTTTTGATTTTCGTAATTTTTCATTTTTGGTATTAAAATACATATTCCAAAAAGTAAAAAATAACTAGTAAAATCATTTATGAGACAAAAATCTCATCTCTAACATGAAAATTCTAAAATTTATAAGATTTTTTTTTTTTATAGTGAATAATATATTTTGGAGACCCATTTCCGAAAATCTCGGGTCTTCAAGTTTGGAGTTGCTCATGTGGCAGGCTGTCACTCGGAAAGTTGAAGTTTCAGAATCTCTTGAGAACGAAAACGAAGATGTGCGTTGGTACTTCTCACATTTCTTATTCCTTCGGGAATCTTCAGAGAAATATGTGTATATGTATATATATATATATAACATCAGAAGAAGGAAACCGAGATAGTGTTGGTTACTATCTTTCGCGTATAGGAAAGATAAAGTTCGTAGCAGTATGCTGATACGAGGAGGAGCTTTAGTACCGCAGGTGCATGACCTATACGAGCGACTGCAGCGTAACTTTTCAACTAAATAAACTACAGTTTGAAACCTTGGCCGTCGCCTGCACCGCTTGGGACCTCGTTTAATAATCCACTCGAGGAGACTGGTCAACCAGTGTAGCCAGGGGAAATGTCGAAGAAACCTCTTTCCCCCCCCCACTCTTTCGCCGACAAATTACAAAACAATGTTTTCCATTCACATTGACACTAAACGTGACGTGAAATGCTAAAATTAAATGAATTCTCTCTTAAAATTTATTTGAATTTAAAAAAATTTATCTCACAGCTTAATAATAATTTATTTAAATCAAATAAATATTTTTTTGATACAAAATTTTATTTATATAATAAATATTTTATTTGATACAAATAAAATTTTATTCGAACCAAATAAATATATTCTTTGGCGCAAATAATAATTTATTTAAACCAAATACATATTTTGTTTGATATAACTAATAATTTGTTTAAACAAAATAAAAACAATAATCTAATTGAATATTTGAATTTTTTTTTCTACTAAAATCACTCAAAACAATATGTATGCATTAAATTTAAAAATATTAAATATTAAAATTAAATTAATTAATTTTTCAAATAAATTTCCATATAAAATAATAATTGTATAATAATAATTAAATATAAAATATGTGCATAAAGAAAATATAAACTAAATTAAATTTAATCCTTTGATTACAAAAAGTCACATACAGAAATAAAATAATTATTGTTTCATAAATAAGTTAATTTTAAAAAATTTTATAAAATTATAATTTTCCATTTCAAATAATAAAATTACAAACACTTTGATCAATTAAGTATAATGGAAGTAAATATAATATCTAATTAAAACAGTACTGAAATTGAAAAAAAAAAATTGCAAAATGAAACAAAATTTTCCAAATGATAAAAAAAAAGCATGGAAATATTTTGATTAAATAAATATTTTTCCAAAAAGATATTTTTCCAAATTAATAATTATTTCTTAAAAAATATAAAGATTTAAATAAACCGAAATAAATTCGTTAAAATTCACATTGCACTAAACGTTTCACACAAACACAGAAAATTAAAAGGCATTAAAATAAGCGTTGCAGCTTATTTTATTTTTGTAATTTTCTGTGAATATAATATATAGTTTAATAAAATTTTTATAAAATTTATTCATGTGAATTGAAAGTCTGTCAAACTTGAAATAGATATTATTTACTCTTGGACATTTATTGTTTTACTTGTTTTGATCAATGTCATGTTTATTTCACATTTCTATTATTTTTTATATAAAACTACTTGTTTTTATATAAAAATAAAGAAAAGAAAAAAAAAGAAGAAATAATAACAATATAATGAATACATGATGAAAATTTATTTCCTATTATATTTTCTTTAAAAATTATTTATTATTCATTTCCATAAGAATGAACCACCAGGAAAAATAATAATTCAAAGGAAGAGTGTTCTAAAAATAAAGAAATATCTGCCCGGCTACTTTTCTCAGTGGAGACACACTACACACAACCATTGTCTCTTCTATCTCTGAAAAAGATTTTTAATCTTGGAGAATCAGAAAAGTTCTTGATACCTCTGCACACCAAACAAAGTATTGTTCTGTTCTCTGTTTCCCTTAACGAAGTGTAGAGAAATTAATTTGAAAATTCCAAAGGATTAGTTTTTTTTTCACGATTTTTCTTGTGGGAAAAATAAATAAATTCAAAGTATAACAATTGAACTGCAAAAAGTTTTGAAAAAGAAAATACTTGAAGGCGATCAAATCGCCTTAAGCAAAGTATAGTAAAAACAAAACAAAAAAAAAAAAAAGACAGAATACGAAAAGAAATGAATTCTTTGAAGTTAGTATTATATAGTGGTTTTGTTGTACAACCACGTTATCTAAAAAGCTTTGTCTAAAGCCGACACAGACTTTTAGACAACATTTTATTAAATAAATAATCCGATCCCCCCCCTAACTTAAGAAGCTGATGTACGTCCGAAGGCCGAATAAAAAAAAGAAGAACTACATGGTTTGCATTCAAGCTTTATATTAAAAAGAAAACAAATACTGAGAAACCTCTTTGTGCAATATTTTGCAAATAACAAAAGCGATGATAAGAAACTTTTCTAGTGTGTTCGGCTAATCAATTTTTTTACTCTTCTAAAATATTTTCTAACAAAATTGTTTAACCAAAAATTTTACCAACGAACAACAAAATTTGATTACAAAAGGGGATTGAAAAATATTTGTCACAATTTTTTGCAAAAAAATCATTGTTCTAGAAATTTATTTTTTATTTAGAAAAAAAAATGGTTTTTAATTGACAATTTATTTTTGAATAGTATACTTATTATCAAGAAAGCACGTCGCTCTAGTTTTGTTAGCAAAGTGCACGAAATACGAAGGCAAACAATAATAAAGAGAGTTTACAGAAAAAAGTATGAAGTTAGGAAAGAGAGAAAGAGAGAAAGAGAGAAAGAGGAAAAAGAGGTTTTGAGATGGACCCCGACGAGAAAGAGAAAAATTCTATCCAGCAACTCGAACGATCTTCCAAGGGAAGTTGAGCTAACCTTCTCGCCTATTGTGCTCCAAAATTCTCAACTACTCTCGTCCCCCTTTCCCCCTATTTACCCCCTTTTATCTTTCTTTCGGCGAAGTGCCATATATCGAGGAAATTTGTTCGTTTCATTTACCACCAGATATTTTCGCGATTTGACCGAAGGGGACAAGATAGAAAGTAAAAAAAAAGAGAGAGAGAGAGAGAGAGAGAGAAGCGGAAGTTATATTTCGTTTATTGCAAAATGAAGTTGGTCCCTTTTCGTTGAGTCGCCAGCGGGCAGAGTTGAAATTTTATCCGCGTCAATGCGAAAACTTCTGTCCGCGACTTTTCACTATTATGTAGTGAACTTTTATTGTGTGTACAAACTCTCTCTCTCTCTTTCTCTCTCTCTTTCTCTCTCTTGCTCTGAGTTTCTAACGAATTGGTCCAAAACGTAAACTGAACCTCTTTTCTACGAGTAACCCGGCTCGTTGATGTTTTATACACTGAATTCCTTGTAAAGCGCTTTTGACTGAAATGGTTTTTGGTTCATTTGAAATATACAGGAGAAATAGAGCTTCGGCAAAAGGCCTGACAAATTTTTAATCCTACCCGCGCGGGTATATAAACAAAGTTTTGACTTTCGGCTTCTTGTATTTTATTTGCCAAAGCAAAAAATCAACACATTTAATATATAATCGAGATTTTTTTCGGTAATTACAATAGAATTTTTATTTAATAATTATTTATTATTAAATAGAAATAAATAAACATAGATAAATACAAATTAAAAAATAAATTATAATTTCAAACTAAAAAGGAGTAGAATTTTTTTATATTATAATTATTATACAAAAACGCGATTTTAAGAATAAGCATATATGGTCTGACTGAAATTGTCTTTTACTACTTAGAAAAATATTAAAAAAGAACTCCAATAATTTCTATTTAATTAATTCTGAATTTTAATACTGTTACAAAAAGTAGAGAAATAAGGGAATAATATGTCTGACTTAATCTCATATTTACTACTGATTCTAAAATTGAAGGAAATCAAAGAATGTCTCACTAAAACTTACATTTACTACTATTAATAATATTGAGGGAATTTTGTTGAAGCCTTTAACAAACATTTTTCTACTTTGATAAAAAAATGCCAAGAAATCATAAAATTCTACTACGTAAATTCCACAATTTCATAAATTAATTTCTACTACTTCAAAAATTAGTCTAAATTAGACTAAATTTGATTTTTACTACTGAAACAGAAATTACGAGAAATTGGAAAATTTCATTATCTATTACTGGAAATTCATTTCTAGAAATCGGTACACTCATTCTAAGATATTTGTATATTTAAAATCGAATAAATATAATTTGTTTGCTTATTCATAAAAAAAAGTATCTATAAGAGAAAAAGTCTGTTTAACTAGGTAAATTTGCAAAACTTCTTTATAAAAGATAAACTTTCACAATGTGAGCCGTAAAATTTAATCTTTACACCTCCACCTTCTTCATAAATCACGTATGTACACATTTGGATATATATCTTTAACACCGAAGGAAAAATATATATAATATATATAACTTGTTTTACAAAAAGTAATTTTAGAAACATAAAACACGAGTATAAAAGATTCCATTTAATTGTTAATAATTTTTTTTTAAAGAAGGTAGTGTTAAAAATTTTAATTTTAATTATTTTAAACAAGGAAAACTGTCGAGGCCCTGACAGTTCTATAGTAGACAGTTTTTGTATAGTTAAGTATCTAGAAACTAGATAATACAACTATTTAGAAACTAGATAGTACAACTATTTAGAAACTAGATAGTCCAATTATTTAGAAACTAGATAGTCCAACTATTTAGAAACTAGATAGTACAACTATTTAGAAGCTAGATAGTACAACTATTTAGAAGCTAGATAGTCCAATTATTTAGAAAATAGATAGTCCAACTATTTAGAAACTAGATAGTACAACTATTTAGAAGCTAGATAGTCCAATTATTTAGAAAATAGATAGTCCAACTATTTAGAAACTAGATAGTACAACTATTTAGAAACTAGATAGTCCAACTATTTAGAAACTAGATAGTCCAACTATTTAGAAACTAGATAGTCCAACTATTTAGAAACTAGATAGTACAACTATTTAGAAGCTAGATAGTCCAATTATTTAGAAAATAGATAGTCCAACTATTTAGAAACTAGATAGTCCAACTATTTAGAAACTATATAGTATAATTGTCCTGTCCTTTTTAAATAATCGAGATGCAC